AACAACAAGTGAGCTGCAGATAACCAATAGCTAAATCTTCAACCCCAAGTTAGCACAACACAAACTACAACAAGACAAAGCACCAAGAGTTAATCATTAGACTTTATTTTTATGATAATTGTTTAAGAATATGAATTAATCAAAGTCTGATGACTATATCTTTGTTGGCCATACAAATGATATTGCATAGAAAATATATTACTTGTTTGCAACCGAAACTTGCCAGCCAAGTTTAGCATTGTTTTTCACTTAATATAGTTCCACATGACTAGCATTTATTAGAAAATGCAGCACCAACTTGTTTCAAGTATGAAGCCGTGTGTTGAGACAAAAGAAAGAGGTCAAGACCATGATTTGGAGAAAAATAGGAGATGAGAGAACAATATCATGTCCATAAAACCCAGTAAAACAAATACTATCTAATCAAAAAACCTAACTAATTGCAAAACTCGAATAGCAAAGAAGGAATTGTTTCTCTAGAGAAGTGAAACAATAAAAAATGTGCTTCAAAATAATAAGAAGCCTAAAACATGAAATGGGAACTAAAAATAGTCCAAAAGACCAAACCCAGAAAGCCAAAACACATTAAATGACAAAGCAAGCAAACCCATAACAAATTGACGAACTAAGCAAACCCAGATATAAAATAAATAAAAATACAATCTTTGGTAAAAAGTCACCGATTAGCAATGGTGGAGGTGTGATGGACTCAAAATGCAAAGTAATGAAGAGTGGAGATGGCGACGAAGACAGTGACAGTGTGAGGAGGAGATGTTGACGACGACGGTACGATGTAGAGAGGAGAGTTGCGTCTGTGTAGGAGGGAGGATAGTCAGTGGCGGTGTGATGATGTGAGAAAGGAGATGCGACGACGACAATGATGGTGAGAGAAGATTGTGTGTGCGTTGTGTGGGGATGGGACGCGGAGGGAGGAGTGTCGAGCTAATAGACTTTTAGGATTAGGGTTTCAAATTTCAAAAATTTTATCTAATAATAAACGGTATGCGGGTTTCCAATCTAACCACTAGCAATATGCCGGTTGGTACGGGTCCAATGCTAGACCCGTACCCTTTATTTTTACCCGGATAAGGGCGACTTTCGAGTTTGGACCCTTTCCATGTCTAAATATGTCCATATATTGTATTTAATCAAATAATTTTATTATCATGGTAGTCAATTCGAGTATTTGATATTTAAACTAAATCGAGTGTTTAAGTGTTTTAATGACCATATTAAAGAGCTATAAAAGGTCTGTGTTTATAATTTCTAGACTGTAACCACACACTATTGAATGGACATGGTTTATTTAAGCCTTCTACCCAAGGGGTTTCTTAATTTAGTGGCTCATCACCCGTCAAAAGGTGGCTCACCTCACCAGGATGTGTATTTTTAAATTAGTACTTGAAGTCACCCATTTTCTTCCACATTTCACTGGTTCAGTTTCCTCGTGTTCAATTAGTCAGTGGCAATGGAGGTCTAAAGGTGCAAATCTCCATACATCATTTCAATTCTTAAAAGGATGTATGAGATACAACTTCAAGACAAATGATTCAATTAGCAGTGGCAATGGAGGTCTAAAACAGGTGTAAATCTCCATCTATCATTATTTCAATTATTGAAAGGCTGGTGAGGTACACTTCAAAACAAAATGATTGTCAATTTATTCTATTTAAGCAAATTTAACATAAGGAAATACCATACCATTAGATTCAATGGATGTCCTAGTCACATTTTTATAAAAAAAAAAATTCTATGACCAACCCAGATGCCATATATTTCACATTAAAACCAAATTCCTCCCTGGATATTTCATTGGTTCTAGGTTCTAAATTCTCGAGCATCTTGATTTTGTTTTATGGCATAGTCAACTGTAATTCAAAAAATTTGGTCCATTAACCAGGCATCATTATTTATTTAAATAATAGATAATGATGCACCTATGTAATCGAAAATATCTCAAATCTTAATAAGTTTATTTTGGTCAGTTCCATTACTCACATGATTCTATGGCAGATAAATTAATTGAGACCAAATAGCTGAAAGTTTTTTCCTTGAAAATTTCATCATAAAAACCCAGATTCTATCTTTGGTCAAAATCACAAGAATGTAGATGAAATAACCCCCTTCTTTTCTTTCCATACAAATCTTGGACCGAGCTCATTAGTTAATAAAAAGTTTTTTTCCAAGAAATGTTTCTGAAACAGCTGCTGCAGCTCTTTAACATCATAACATAACATTTGGTAAAACCGAAATTAAAAACAGAATAATATCAGGGAAGAAACGGAAAGACATTAGCTATTTTATAAAGTGAAACATCTACATCATCCCGCAATGAGCAAATGCTCCATGATGCTCCATTACTCTACTGATACAGTCATTATTAAATTACTCTTATGTTTATTACAAGTTTTCTTCATCCTCTTGAGTGTCGTCCGCGCTTAGCAGATGTTTAAGCGCTACTTTTGTCTTCTCGGTTCTGATGAGCTTCCTTAATATCATGCTCATTACCCTTCCTCTTCAGACTTGCATCCCCTGTTCTTCATCGATACCAGAAGCAACTTCACCACGAATTCTCTGGCTTTTCCACTGGCGATTGCATTGATCAGTTCCTTCAGCTTTCTCTTAGGATTCTGATTTCCTTTCTTAACGATTGTTCCCATTCTTCCAAAAAGGAGCGGATTTCTTCGCCCGTGCAAGATCAAAGGTGTTTTTCCTGCTTTTGTCTTGGCACTGAGACTGCACCTTTTTAACCAAGTCCTTAACAGATCCTGATGAGACCCTTGAACAGCATAGTGAAGCGGAGTAGTGCCCTTGCGTGTGAGAGCTTTAACAGAGGCACCGAAAGAAACTAAGCCCGGACAACTTCCAAATGTCCCTTTTGGATGCAAAATGAATTGCACCCATGTCATCCATGGCCGCAGCACCAACTCAGCTTTTTGCTTGCAAGATAACTCACCCCTCTGTATCCCGACCATGCAGCTAAATGTGTACGTCACGTACAGTCGCTAAGTCAAGTAAACAATCAAAACCCCATGACTTAAAGTAGTATCAAACGAACAAAGAACCCCAATTGATGAGCCAGCTAGCATCACACTGCAGATTAAGCAATCAACGGTATAGAAACTGCATTTCCTCATATGATGGTTTCAAAGTAGGCAACGTAAGCCTCTATTGACCACAATAATAACCTAAGGACTGCAACATAATAGCCCTAATAGCTACAAAGCAATGAAAAATATATCAAAACCTTAACTTGTGTAATTAAACCCTGTACAAAATCAATTAATAGCATCCAAAGGCCCAGCTATGATCCAAAAGAAAACCCCTTTCCAAATTTCAGGCTATACAACAAATTTCAAAACCCGTTCCTAATAAGCTGAAGAAAAAGAGCAAGTTAACTAATTTGTGGAAAAGTAGCCATAGTTTATATCATCAATTCTTATAAAAACAATTAAGGATACGGAGTTCTGGAGTGCTTATCTCTGGAGTTGAGGGATAAAGTGTAGAGCAAAGTATTAACTGCACAGTTCAGGTCACCGACCTTGCTGCCGGCTGAAGATCTTCTTCTCTTACCCATTTTTATCTCTCTCTCTTGATGACCCAGATGCAACAACAGCTAGGTTTTCCTTTGATTATACGCCATCGTGCCCGTTAAGTTTAGCGTTTGGTCTGTTTCTCTGAGAAAGGAACGTTTAAGATTTTCGTTTAATAATCTATTTAGAAAAAAAAAATGTCCTTTATTTAATAATCCATTGAAAATTTATTTACAAAAATAATTAAAATAATCCATTATAAAAATTTTCTTTTATCTAATGAAAAAATACTCCAAACTTGTGAAGAGAAATAAGAAAACAGATCTAAGTGGGCTTATTGAATCACTTCTCCTAATCAAAGAATGACTGCGGTTGATATATCGTAAATTTTTATTATGAACTTTAATTTTATTTTTTTACAAGCTCTAATTAACTTTGGATGATCAGATCCATGAAAATAAAATTTTACATCCTGCGATTGAAATTAATGTGGATTATTATATAAGTTGTAGAAATTCAAGAATTTAGTCAAAAATAGTTATGGACTCTAATGCAACGTCCCACATGATTAGGAAGCGGATTTCTTTTAATGTTTATAAGTGCTCCCCCCTCCCCCCCTTTTTTAATTGAAATGTTCGGATTAACTCATACGTACATCGATTAATCATCAAAGAAAGTTATCCTACAACAACCCACCTTTTCAACCAGCATTTTAGATTATAAGTTCAATGTCTGTGGAGCCAACTAAATTTTTAATGAATTTAGAACAACCACTTTTTTTTTTTTTAATTATAATTTCCTTCTAAGTTTTGAAGTAATAAAGTTAGATCTTTCTATTCTTGATTTCAACCTTTTTGAGTATTGAATCAACTGTTATTACCACTCATGTTCAATGAAGATATGCTCATTTATACTGAAGTCAAAATTCGTATCAAAAGAAAAGCATATGCAATTAGGGAGGAAACGGAAATTGACGGTATCGGTTTGAAGAGGTGAGTGTAAGCGAAAGAAGAGAGAACAAAGCCATTTCATCTATATAGCATTTTCTCATTAAGAAGCCGAAAATCAAAGCAGGGCCACTTCTACAAACAAGTACTTTCTCAAAAGATGGCGAGACTCATCCCTTCCCAGTTTCCAAGAGGTCAGATTAAGTTAAGATAAGATGCGCCGGAAACTACTTCAACAAATGTTCTTCTGGTAATTGGCATTTATTTTCAGATAAACAATTCCAGACTCATTAGGTCCATAAATTGCCGAATCATTTGAAGTGTGAAAGAATGTTGCAATAGATTCTGTGAGAATGTTGACTTATGAAGTCCATTTTCTGGATGATAAATTGAAATTCAGCTCTGCTGAGTAGAGTCTGCATGAGGTATTCTGTCCCTGATGAACTTGAATTCAGAAAAAGATGATATCATAAAACTCTATATATGTAACTTTAAATTTCAAAAGATAGAAGAATGATAGTAGTTCTAAAAGGAATAAGCATGTAGCAACGATTACCAAATCTACAATTTCACAGGGTTCGTCTTATTTGAAATTACATTGCCATACGTTGTAAAACAAACTACTGAACACTAACATGATTTCTTATGATACTAATGTTGGATATTTCAAAATGTTCAATGACCATTTCCGTCTATCATCACTCAAAAACCAAAGATGATGAACAGCTGTTGCCATTTATCACTACACAATTAAATAGGCACATTTGTTTATAAATAAGAAACTGTGGCTTACTTGTCACAGATATTGTTCTAACCTTGATACCACGTGACAAGGGATTCGATGTTGGCCACTTAGCAATATTGTACTACGTCTTGATTCTTAGCCTCTCAAACTTTAGCTGGGATTTGTTACTCTATTAGTGCATTAGAACTCTCTTGGCTATGGCCATGAAAATCTGGGAGGTTCGCATTGGTGGAGAATTTCATCCATCTCTTTCTCTCGGTATACTTCAGACAAGGTTGCATCACAAGGCCAATCACCACAGCACCAAGGCTTATAGCAGCAACTTTGAGCGAAGAAAAAGCCAACACAACACAAATCAATATGGTTGGAGGAATACACATAAGAATCGATCCAGCTGTCCCAATGGGTATCTTGTAAGGACGAGAAGCAGCTGGATATTTCATCCTTAATTGTACAAATGCTATAAACTCCAAAATCATGCCAAAACAGTACAAGAAATTCTCTGCAGCTACAATCTCTTGAAAGCTCAGCCATGACAGCAGAATCACACCAGACGCCGAGAATAAAATTCCAATCAAGGGAGTTCCATAACAGGATCTCTTAGCAAAACACTCAGGCAACATTCCACGCTCAGCCATCCCCAAAAGTTGGAAAGAGTCACTGCTCATCTCAGCCACAAACATACCCATATTTGACATTGCTGCAGCCCCTTGAATCCACCATCTCAACCAAACTCCTCCAAGCAATTTTGCGATGTCTGAAAAATAACCATCAGTCCACAGCTCACGATTAAGTGGAACAGCACCTGTACCAATAAGAAGGGGGAAGAAATACCCAACAACAACCAAGATCACTGCATAAAACAGAGACTTTGGGAGAGTCTTCTTTGGGTTATCCACCTCCCCAGCTAATGTACTTATCGAATCCCAATAGTTTAGATTCCAGAAAAGAGTGTTCAAATACAAATTCCAATCCACGTCATGTAGATTCACCACAAGCCATCTTGAAGGCTCCAACTTTGGGATTGCCACAAGTCCCATAACTATGAAAGGAAGAAGTGAAAAAACCCCTAAAAGGATAGCAACCCATCCCACAATGACTAAACCCCTATAGTTCAAGAAAGTGAGAATAGCAGTTAAACCTAATGCTGAAAAGGTTCTAGGTAAACCACCACCTAGCACCGGAATACCTGACTTCAAGTAGTCAAGAAACAGAACCGGATACAAAGCATTATCAATAACCCCACTTAGCCATTTCATCCAACCTTGCTGAAACCCCCAATAGGGACCTAAGGCAGATGAAACCCAAACCACATAACCACCATTCTCAGGGAACATGGTACCCATCTCAGCAGTAATTAATGCTTCAGGAACACTCCATATGAGTGGAAAGATCAAGAAGCCGAGAAGAGCTAAAAGAGGACCAGCTGCCCCCACACTATCCTCAACGCCAAAAGGACCCCCAGAAACCTCATAGAAAATGAGGAAAATAAGAGGTAAAACTGATACTTTCTTAATATTATCCACCCTAGGAGAAGATGGTTCTTCATTTATATTAAGATACTGAGCACCATGATTGTCTAACCCCATCGCAACTGAAGCTTCCCTTTCCCTATTCACACTTTTCCTCAAAACCTGCATTCAGCATTCAATTCTCAGCATAATATAAGCCGAGTTTCCCCTTCAATTAAGTAATATTATCAACTACTTGCGAATATAAATAAAGTGAAAATCGTACCCATTAACTAAATTTACATATCAAACACCATAGACACATGAATGGGTCAGTTCAAATTTAACAATTAATAGCAAGATCGGTAAAACATTGATGAAAAACAATAAACTATAAAACCCAGAAGAGTTTAACAGAAGCAATCAACGATCAACAAAATAATAATCAAATTGAAGAGTGGAAACAAAAGAAATCGACAAACCATCAAAGAGACGTCATTGTAGTTGAAGAAGAGAGAGGTTGTCGTTTAAGCGAAGCTTAACACCCAAACTTTCAGGTCTCAACTAACAGCAAAGTGGCAATTTACAAGAATGTCGGACATAGTGGGTCATTTTGATTTTAGATTGTGATCTAAAAGGTAAAAAATTAAGGCATAATTTAAATTAATAAATCCTATAAGTTTTTTTGGGTTTCTCTATTTGATTTTATGTTAAACCTTTTATTTGCAAACTGTTTCTTTGTTATTGAAAATAAATTTTTTTATCTTATTCTAAATTAAAGACTTCTGATAAATACTTTAAAAAATAATGTGAATGTATTTATTTCACCTTGGTCCATAATCAAACTGTCGAAAAAAAGAAAAAGGGGTTCGTTTGTGCTTTATTTAATCTTTTAAAGATTGGTTTATTGTAAACAATCAAACTTGAATATTTAAATAATAGATAATAATATTAGTCATTGGGTTTTCTTTCCCACCGTGATCAAACATTTATACTTTTTTCACAACAACTCAACATCGATTACAAAACAAAACCTCTTTTCACTTCTCCATTGTTTGAAGTGAATTTAACTAATTTACATTATTATATTCTTTGATATGAATTTATAATAAATGATCTATTAAATACTATTAATAGCATTTTTTATGGTTATAAATGTAAGTACTAGGGCTGTGCAAAACCGGATACCCGCTCCGGTTTTGACCGAAAATTGGGTATCCGAATATTCAGGTACCCCTAAAAATGTACCCAGAAATTGAACCGGTTTTAGAATACCTGGTTTTATGGGTACCCAAAAATTCGGGTCACAAACTGGGTATCCGATTTTGTTACCCGAATTTCATTAAAATTACACAGTAGAATGCAGAATTATATCACTTTGAAATTTATGTGTGTCAATCTTAACTATTATTCGACAATGTCCAACACAAATCATTGAACCATACTAATCAAACACATTCCAACAAAAAAGTAGTCTCTAAACCATTATCATATATTCCCTGGGACCAATTCTTTTGATGCAGATCATATTGGAAGAATGAAAACAAATTACTTTCTTCAATTGAGCACCGATTTTGAGTCTTGACAAAATAGATCACAGGGGAATCTATCCTAGTAGAAACCAAAAAGAAAATTCTGCATAATTTCATTCCAACAGTCCTATATATACAGACTGTTGAGAGTGAGAGAGATGAGTGCGGCTGTGCGGTGAGAGAGATGAGTGCGACTGTTGAGAGTGAGAGAGATGAGTGCGGCTGTGCGATGAGAGAGATGAGTGCGGCTGTTGAGAGTGAGAGAGATGAGTGCGGTTGTGCGGTGAGAGAGATGAGTGGCTGAGTGCGGTTGTGCGGTGCAGATGCAGACTGGAGAATTTGAGAGTGAGAGAGATGAGTTTGAGTGCAGTTGTGCGCCTGTGTGAGGGACTTAAGTACTTGACGCAGTGACGGGCTAAACTTTTAGGGCATAAGGGATTTGGGGCTTTTGCCTTTGAAAATTGAAAGTCTGCGTTTTTTTTTTTATTTTTTAATAAAATCGGTTACCAGGTACCCGGTTACCTTAAAGCAAATAACCGATACCCAGGCCGAAAATTTGGGTATCACATTATAACTACCCGAAACCGACCCAAATTTTCGGGTACCCGATTTTCCAGATTCGGTTCAGTTCGGTTAACGGTTTTTTTTGCACAACCCTAGTAAGTACCTAAAATTCAGTAATTAATATATTGAGAAGGCAAATAAAATTTGGGAAAGGCAATTGATAACTAACAAAAAAAAAGCCACAATTAATGCAATTAATTTATGACCCTTAATAAATAAATACTTGTTTTTCATGTGGCGTAAAATGGCTGGTACAGAAATAAGGACAGCTTCATTACTCAGATTGATTGCGTAGTGGAAGCCACGTAACACCCGTGTCACTGGCTGATTCACTCTTGTCTTTTTGTGTTGCGCATAAATGAATTTCATCTTTATTCTTCCCTAGTTAAATATAACTTTAATAACACATGCATAAGGTTTTATCATATAAAAAACCTATAATATTAATTCCACAACATTATTCGGACGATTGTACCTTAATGCCACGAAATGATTCTTCAACATATTTTATTCAACTTGTTGACCACTGCTTTTGAAATTATCTCAATAAAATATAATATAAGAAGATGTTTGATTGTGTTACAATTATATCATCAGTTAAAATAATTATAAGAAGAAGAAGAAGAAGAAGAAGAAGAAGAATATCATTATTTACAAGTAGTATTACAATTTTTAATTTAAAAAATTATCATTCTCTTTATCTTAAAAAAGAAACTCTTTTATTCATCGTATCTAAAAAAGAAAAAAAAAAAAAGTAGAATACAAAGAAATGTGGTATCATTCATATTATCTTTTATTTCTTATTTGAATACTCCTATAATTACCATTACCTTCTCTTTTTTGCAAAAACTTTGCCTTTGTTGTATAGAAAACAAAAACTCTTCCCTTTTATCGGTTGATCACACTTTAATTATTATATTTAGTTTAATAGTGGCAGAATTTACGAAGGATAGAGTTGCCTAGGGTTGAGGTTGACAATGATGAATAAAAATTCTTTATTTTGCTCGGTGTGGCGGCAGAAAAGTGAGAGAAAGATTTTTAATGGAGGCATGACTCATGAAAGCAATTATATATAGTTATTAATTATAGATAAATTCATTTGATAATTAATCTAATAATCTTGCATTTACAAACTATCACTATGCATAATAAAAGCTTTTTCTTTAGATAACAAACTAAAGTATAATATAAAAACATCTAATCCACGTGAGTAAATATTAAATTAAAGTAATTAAAAAGACTGTAATAACAAACGTTACCAATATTCTTAAATAAAATATCAACTAGGACAAAAGAATATGTATAAGATTGTCACACAAACGTTAAAAGCTGAAAATTTACAAAAAAATAANAAGAAGAAGAAGAAGAAGAAGAAGAAGAATATCATTATTTACAAGTAGTATTACAATTTTTAATTTAAAAAATTATCATTCTCTTTATCTTAAAAAAGAAACTCTTTTATTCATCGTATCTAAAAAAGAAAAAAAAAAAAAGTAGAATACAAAGAAATGTGGTATCATTCATATTATCTTTTATTTCTTATTTGAATACTCCTATAATTACCATTACCTTCTCTTTTTTGCAAAAACTTTGCCTTTGTTGTATAGAAAACAAAAACTCTTCCCTTTTATCGGTTGATCACACTTTAATTATTATATTTAGTTTAATAGTGGCAGAATTTACGAAGGATAGAGTTGCCTAGGGTTGAGGTTGACAATGATGAATAAAAATTCTTTATTTTGCTCGGTGTGGCGGCAGAAAAGTGAGAGAAAGATTTTTAATGGAGGCATGACTCATGAAAGCAATTATATATAGTTATTAATTATAGATAAATTCATTTGATAATTAATCTGATAATCTTGCATTTACAAACTATCACTATGCATAATAAAAGCTTTTTCTTTAGATAACAAACTAAAATATAATATAAAAACATCTAATCCAAGTGAGTAAATATTAAATTAAAGTAATTAAAAAGACTGTAATAACAAACGTTACCAATATTCTGTAAATAAAATATCAACCAGGACAAAAGAATATGTATAAGATTGTCACACAAACGTTAAAAGCTGAAAATTTACAAAAAAAATAAAAAATAAAATAAAATTAACAAGGCATAAATATTAATTCCTTTTAAGTATAATATAACAACAAAAATCACCTTAAAGTTTCGAAATAACAGAAACTTTTTACTGTTAATGAACTTTTCATGAATTGTTAAAATTTATACTTTATAACTTAATAAATATTATCAGACGAAGATTCTCTACAATGATACTATAGTCCAATTAAAAGGGATATAGAGTAGCAAATTGTAATTTTAACATTTAAAACTTAACAACAAGGGGTTTTTGTTATTTCAAAAACTTTAAGGAAATTTTTGTAAATATATTATATCTAATAGGGATTAATGTTATTAATCCTATTAACAAGGGAACAACGTTAACCAATAGGTGATAAGATTCCCATATTTAATTTCTCTATCCAGGCTTTTAATTGAAAAGGATGGCCTCCTTTTTTTGGGTAAAAAATTGACATCTTTTACTTAATTTATTTACTTCCCAATAATATTATTTTAGAGGATAAATTCTTATTATTATTGGCCGATCTTTCGCAGATTTCAATCATACCAGTTCTTTTCTTATATTACATGATAAAATTACAAGATATGTATAATTTACCATATCCATGAAATTAAATACAACTATTTTCTCAATTTATCATTATCTTTACTCTTTAGTCATTAATTTTTAAAATTAACTATAGAACGTCAAAATATATTCATAATAAAATAAGGTGTTTTTGTATTTTTATCAGAGATAATTGGTTGAATTAATCAAATCATTGTCTAAATTATAAGAAATAAAGTGAAAAGACTTAACAGAGTTGCTGACGTTACCTCATCATCCTTAGCCACTTGCGATGTATTATCGCTAACCGTCTGCGGCGGAGGTTGATCCTGGACAGTGCTTCCGCCGTCACTGGACTGTTGATTCACTAGTTCTCGTTCACCGGAAACCTCCACCGCTGGCGCTGGCATGCTTAGATCTGAAACTTCCGTTTGTTCTCCTTACTCCGAGTATTACAATTACAAGGAGCCAGAATAAACAAAACAAGCAAATAAATAGACGACTAGGTAAGAAAAATAGAGCGAGTAGTGAATCTCAAGGCATATGCACGTACAAAGAGAGCGAAGAGTTTAAAGAAGTTGAGGAAAGAAGTAGAAGAGGATGATGAGAAAATATTAGTTAATTGTGTTTTATGGAAACGTTTCTAAAGTCTGCTATTTGTTTATGTTTTCCTTGTTTGGAAAATTTGATTTCGTATAATTGTATTCCTTTTTTTT